GTGTGCTATTTTCAATTACTTGGTTAATTTGGAGTTTGTGAATTTATTGATTTTATAAGTTTCGGGTGTCTTTAATTCCCCTTCAATAATCTCACCTTTTCTTGTGCTTTGCTTTCTTTGATATTTTGATCATCTATTTTTCAGGTTGTTTTGAATGCTTACAATTTACAAATGTTAATTAGGAAAAAATATGATTAGTGCCTTGTGCCTTGGTAGGATTATATACACTATTTTTTTTGTCTAAAAGTTTTTGGTATTTTTAATAACATGTTAATGAGTTCCATTGACATAGCATAAGAGGTTTTACTTTGTTGCCAGGCTTACTTTTATCCCTATAGCTTCAGCATAACCAAATTTTGATGAAATTTTTTTGTCAGGAAAGGGTTTTAAATTGTAAAAGGAGAAACGATTCTTAACATTGGAAGTGATTGGTATGGTGTGCTTCTTGTGTATTTTCAGTCTTGACAAGCTGAGGATACAGGTTTCTTTTATGCAGTGGAAATTCGGGATGGTAAAGGCATGAATATTTTCTGGGCTGATGCCCTATCTAGATTTTCCTGCACTTAGTTTGGTGATGCTACTGTGTTTGATACAACATACACGAGAGGTAGTTATTTAGTGCCATTTGCTTCATTTATCGGGGTTAATCATCATAGGCAACCAGTACTTCTTGGTAGTGCTTTAGTTCCAGATGAATCTGAGGAATCATTTTCTTGGATATTTCAGGCTTGGCTCGGGTCAATGTCAGGGCACTGCCCTGTGTCAATAATAGCCGACAAGGACAAGGCCGTTCAACATTTGATTGCTCAAGTTTTTCCTGGGACACATCATCGATTTTCTACGTGGCAAATTATTGCGAAGGAACAGGAAAACTTGGGTGCGTTACTCTCCATGGATGCTGCATATTTCAGAGCCAGACGGCCAGTGAATTTGATTCTGCCTGGGATATGCTTGTTAACACATATAACTTGAGAGAGGATGCTTGGTTAAAGGAAATGTATAGAAAGCGTAAAAGTTGGGTTCCGTTGTGCATCAAAGGCACATTCGTTGCTGGCATTAAAATCATATTTCAGTTCTCTTTTGACCGCCCAAACAGCCATCAATGAATTTGTTGTGCGCTTTGAGAAAGCACTAGAACAATGCCGTGAAGAGGAAAGAAAGGAGGATTTTAACTCGTTTAACTTGCAAGTTGTTTTGCACAAAAAAGACCCCATAGAAGAACAGTGTAAAAGGCTTTACACAATTACCATTCAGAAGAGCTTTTAGAATGCTACAGCTATGCCGGGATAAAGATCAATGTTGAAGGAGCCATTAGCAGATATCTGGTGCAGAAGTGTGGAAATGGAGATGAGAGGAATACCGTTGCCTTTTAATTCATCAAATCTCAATATCAGTTGTAGTTGTAAAATGTACGAGTATGAAGGTGTTCTTTGTAGGCATGCTTTGAAGGTGTTCCAAATAATGAACTTTGGGGAACTTCCATCTCGTTATAAATTGCATCGATGGGCAAAAAATGTGAAATATGATATGATACGCGATGATGATTCAGGAGGTGGCTCTCAAGATTTTAAGGCCCTGATGTTGTGGAGTTTAAGAGAAGAGGCTTGGAATTATATTGAGGCAGGCACCGCATCTTTGGAAAGATACAAACTAGCCTTTGGAATATAGAAGGAAAGTAGAAGAAGCCTCGGTTGGCAAAATTAGGAAATATTTCGGATATAGATTTGGAAATATCTTCTTNTTCCCACCAAAAAGTTGGGAAAAAGGAATTCCTTGGAAAGCTGGAAAAGAGGCTCGTGGGTAGGTAGGAAAAAATTTTCCATGCCAAATGTTGTCTATTAAAGAAGAGTTAAGGGTGTAAATGATTTTTTTTTTTTTTCCATTTTCCATGAAAAAGGTGAGCTATCAAACATAGCCTAATTCTTATTTACGAACATTGTTTCATGTCAAGTTAATAAAAAAAAAAATACAATGGGATTCTCCAATTTCCTATGAAGTTCTCTACCAAACTTTTTTTAAGGCAAAAATTGACTTGAAAAAAAAGCACTTTGTTGCCCTAATCATTATTAAGAAATGTTGACCATGACAATTGAGTCAAAGCACTGTTGACTATGTTTTGACTTATGAACTAAGCATATTTTTCTCTAAAATATTTCATGAGAATAGTAAGATCAAAGACTAATAATTAATGTGCTAAGAATGAAACAATCACTTCGAATTTGAGTGGGTTGGTGGATTTGTCACATGGGATGTTGGCAAAGTGTGGTACCATGTCATGATGTTTGAAGTCCATTTACGTTAGACCCTCACACAAAAACATCAACTTTTTGTACTTTGCTTGTGGGTAACATATGTATAGTTATTGCGATGGCCTACACGCATGGATTCACAACCAACTTGAAAAGTTTATGGATTATCATTGCTAATGATCATAGAGATTTGCGATGCAACGAGAGGTTTGGTTGTTCAGTTCAAAAATTATTCTGTCGCACATTATTGAAATGTTTGGGACGTATTTGCTATGATTTAATGAAAAGCTTGTGACCGCCAATAGCAAAATTCCCTTGATTTTATATAGAAAGTTTGACAAAATTGAGAGAGTGCTAGATATCGTATTGCTGCTAGATAATTGGAGTGCAATAAAATAAAATTAAAGTCGATTTTCAATGCAGTGATCAAACTTCTTTGTAATGAGAGTGCAATATTTTATTGTGTATTATGTAAATTATATCATACTCAATTAACTTTTAAAAAAAATTATAGAACATAGAGATATGTATGAGCAAAATATTTGATGAGAAAGAGCCAACAACAATGATTAGGAGCTCTATGACTATCATGTGCCAACCATGTTGTGGTCCATGTAATATGTCAAAGAATATAGTATAATAAATTTTATAATATACTAATTTTTTTGGGCATGATTTTATTTTTAAAGTTTTTATTCACATAATCGAGGGACGCAAAAATCAAATCAAATAATTTACGAAACATCATACTGGACTTGGACGATACTACGATTTTTTTAAACATTAGAGTAATCACGTCCATTTATTAGACGTTGTGGATATTGCTTTAAATAGGAATGGCATATCGAATCGATTTGCTATCTTTTCAAATGGGTTGTTCATCTCATGTGACACTTGTGGAATTAAGCTGCAAAATAATGTATATTTGAAATTATGGTGAAAGGTACAAAGACATTGAGATTCTCTTTCAAGTCACAAACATTATTGTGTTGAAATCAAGATAGGTGTGTTTGACACATTAGGGCCCTCTTATTTGTGAATAATATAATGAGATTCATGTCTTTGTTTGAATAAGAGGCAACATGAAAATTATAGAGTCAAAGAACGGACCAAGTTCAAGTAACTAGCTCGATTTTATTGTCACGTCGTATCACTTTATAATTTTATTTCAATCATTTCACGTTGTTCTGTCTCTTAAAGTGCTCAATGAAAAAAATGATTGTCACGTTGACATGACAAATATATATATTATTCAGACAAAACACCAACCACACCGTGTCAACAATATATTCACTAATCAAGCCCCCAGGCATATCTTCAAGCGGTAAAAAAGGAAGGTGGAAAAACTCCAACTTTGTTTAAAGCTGTCGCGTCAAGGATTCGAATCCTGAAATATGAATTTGGTCATTGAGTAAGTGCAAGTGTACAAACTGTTTTCCACCCTATACCCTTGGAAGTATAACCTGCGATTTACCTCTTTCACCAAGGCTCAGGGCAGGGCAGGGCAGGTGGAGGCTGTCAAAAATGCGGCTCATCCTTTTTTATATTCACTAATCAAAATTAAAAAACTTGGACGAAATGACTTTGAAATAAAACCATAAATCTAGAAATCCAAATTTCACAAAAATGAAGTTCAAAGACTAACTTGAAATTTGAGTACACATTCAATAACCCACAAAATATTTACCCACGTTTGAGAGATGAATCACAGGACAAAAACATAATCATAATCAAAATTTCGAAGCACCAAATGTGCATGGCATCATAATCAAAATATATACATGATTTGAGGTTTAATCCAACCAAAACTTCGGTAACCTAAAATTTTGCGAGAGAAAATTTCGTTGGCTCATTAGACATTCCTTGAAAAAAATTCAGTTTGCAGGGTTCTAGGGCTTTGACACTTCGAAAAAGATGATGAATGTTGGTGCTGTTCGAGATTCATCTATGATTTCGTTATATTCAAATATTTATCCACAGTAAGTAACTTTGGAGAGGAAGAGGTGCTTGACATGCTAGAGGAGATGGACTAATCCACCTCCCTTGTAAATTTGCCACCGGTTTAAGTTCGTTTTACTGATAGTATTCGTCGTCCAAGCTTTAAGATACACAGGTTGAACGAAATTAAATGCAATCTATTCCGATAACTGTTTTTTCGACGCCTTTGATCATGCTGATATTATTGATATATCATGTTTTAAGAGCTGCAAAAATTATGGGTATTTCATATTTCCTCATTAAGGATTACACCAGAGATTGTAGTCCAATACTACAAACCTGGCAATACTCATCTTAAGTGGTAAAGAAATTGCAATCAATTGGCTGCTGTTCACATTGGTTACAACACTAATTGAAGAGCCTTATACTGTCTCCAATTCGAGTAAAACTTTTAGCAAGTAATCCAATAACGCTTCAGTTTGAGGTGTGTAGCTTTACAGTTGCTTCCCTGAGGCTAGAAAAGGGCCATACATGATATGAATCTGGCAGTCTCAGTTGTCCATTTTCCACCAAGTATGGAAGTATGTAGTCTTTCATTTCACTCTAGGAAATTTCAAGATGGTAACCAGATGCTTTGAAAAACTACACCTTCCCAGCTTCGTCCAATGCTTTCAAGCCAACCCAATTATCATTAGCACAATCCAATCTTTGGAACAACAGTCAATGTCAAAATGGGTAGGGCCGTCACCTTGCGTGCTGGGTTTGTAACCTTAGAAGGCAGGCACATTATGAGCCAAAAACAAAAATAGAGAGCTATGGTTCCTTATGAGACGTGCCTGTAGGTCCAGTCCAGCTCAGGGTGGGGCCTCGCTGAAAAGATGTGTGTTCTGTTTCAGGCCTTAAACAGGTCCGGCCTGTTAGACACAACTAAATGCAGCAAAGAAGTTTTGAATGAGGTGGTTTAACAGGTCACTTGAATTGATAGAGGTCATGTATTCAAGTTTTAGTACCACCTACTTTGCTGGTTAGATTGGGGATGGTATTAATGCAGTGGACAGCTTGGGCTCTGTTTTGGGTTTTATGGAAATAAATTGTCACAAGTTTTACTTTTGCACAAAGTTATAAGTCAATTTCTCAATGTTCACTGAAGTATGGGTCGAGCCCCTTCATGTTCATCTGCAATTGCTCTAGGACTACATGCGTCGTCTCCCACTGTGGATGCACCTTATCCCCGGCTACAAACTCCCAAACCCTACTGCCGATCTCAATGACACTACAGCCCACCTCTTTCTTTGCCCCTTTCATCCGCATCAATCCTTTGATTTCTTCCACATGTGCCCATCTTCTTTCAATTGCGTAGAGGTTTCTCAACATGATATAGTTACCATCATTCCATGGCTCCATGTTAATAGCTTTCTTTACCACCCTCTCAGCCCTTGTAACATCCTTAGCATACCCACAAGCAAATATGAAGGAACTCAATATGATTCCATTAGCCTCATAAGGCATGCTCTCGATTAGTTTTTCAGCTTCCTCCAAACATCCGGCCCTCCCCAAAAGATCAACTAGACAACCGTAATGCTCAATTCTAGCAGTAAGCCTAAGTTCATCCATTGCCTTGAACCATCTCCTCCCTTCCTCGACTAATCCACCATGGTTACAAGCTGACAAAACACCGAGCATTGTAATTTCATTTGGCTTAAACCCATGTATTTTCATATCCAAGAACACCTCTACTGCCTCCTTAGCACGCCCGTTGACCGCCAACCCATTTATCAAAGCATTCCATATGCATGTTTCTCTGTGTGGTACCTCGTCAAAAACCCATCTCGCTTTATCAATTTCCCCACATTTAGCATACATATCAATCAATGCTGTACATACATTTGAAGATCTAACCAACTTCTTCCGCTTCACAAACTCATATACCCAATTCCCCATATCCAAAGCACCCAAATCAGCAATTGCCGGAAGAACACTAACAACAGTAACATCATCAGGATCAAACGCTTTCTCAGTCAGCAATTCATGAAACAATCTCATTGCCTCATGGGGCTGTTTATTCTGACAATATCCACCAATCATCGCATTCCAAGAATACAAATTCCGCTCGGGCATGGCGTCAAACAGCAACCTAGCTTCCTCCACATCACCATTACTACAATACCCATCAATCATACTAGTCCAAGACACCACATTTCTCTCGGGCATATCATCGAACAACCTCTTCGCCTTCTCCATATCCCCTAACTTGACATAACCATCGATCATCACATTAAACGCGGCAGTGTCCTTATCACACTCAAGCATTAGATCAAACAACTCTTTTGCCGTGCCCATCTCTCCGTTTCTCACATACCCGCCAATAAGCGCGGTCCACGACACCGGACTCCTTTCAATCATTTCATCAAACATTTTCTTCGCAAAATCTATTTTCCCCAATTTCCCATACATATCCACTAACGCAGTTGCCACATACAAATTAGACTTAAACCCATATTTCACCACATGGGCATGCACTTCTGTTCCTTCAAATAAAGAAAAACTCAAGCCGCAACATTTCGCCAGAGTCGAAAAAGTGTAATTATCCGGTCCAAAACTATCTTTCCTCCTCAACTCATTATACAAAACAGCAGCCTCAGAAAATTGTCTAGAATTAAGGTGGGCTTTCATCATAGTATTGCATAGAAAAGTGTTGGATTTAAGCCGGATTTGACCGAACAGGCGGCGGGCGTGGTGGGTTCCGCATTGTGGGTCAGAGGAGGATAGGGTGGCGATGAGCTTTGTGAGGAGGTTAAGGTTGGTTTCGAGGGCGTTTCGGAGCATGAAGGCGTGGATTTGAAGGAGCGTGGCTCTGCTGTGGGTTTTTCTTTGGAGGATTGAGAGGCATTTTCTCTCTTTTGGAGTCCATATCCATGTCGATTGGGTATCTTTTTCACTCATAGCGTGAATGAACGCACTTTCATCCCATTCTTCTTGAAAAGCAATTCATGTCGATTTCAGACTATTAACGCACTGCCACTTTAGTTCAATTTGAATTTGGGTCTTAAAATAGAGGTATGAACGAGTTGATTCCACTCTCATTTCTAGTTGAATGTTAATTTGATTTTAAAATTATTTTTTATAAATCATTATTATATAAATTATACGAATCAATGCATTTTGAAACATTAATAAACATTAACATTTATATCCTACTATAATAAAAACATCAGTTTTGAAATCACTGTAGATGTAACATTAAAGCAATGAGTTGTTACTGTTCATTTTTTCAGATTTCACTCCATCAGTTCTCCAATTTTCGCTACCATGTTAAAAAAAATTTGCTTTGTTGTATATTTTGTTTTTCTATTATGGGAAATTTGATTTGTTATGTTGGAAATTGGTTGAGGCACCTTACCTTAATAATAATAATAAAAAAGGTCTCTGGCTCGCAGAGACACCATGTCCAGACTCTGCGCGCCGAGACTTTTTTTTTCCTACTATCCCTACTATATCACCCAGTTTCGGAATCACTGTTAGTTTTATCCTGTATGTTATTTGCATATTCGATATGTTAGTTGCATATACGGTAAGTTAGTTGTATATCTAATAAGTTGCATATACGGTATCAGTATGTTATATATTATTTGCATATTCGGTAAGTTGCATATACGGTATGTTAGTTGTATATTCTGTATGTTAGTTGTATATACGGTATGTTGAGTATACAGTATGTGGAGAATTATTTTTTTAACAATTCTTTCTTTATTATAATTCAATAATTTCAATAATACCTTACTTTTCATTTTTCAATATACATTTAATTATTTCAATAATACATTACTTTTCGTTCTTCAATATGTATTTAATTTATTAATCATTTGAGCAATATTATCATTAGTAATTTTATCAATTATTTAGTTATGATGAATGTACATTTGACACGTCATTTTTCAATATGTATTTGATTTATTTAATTATTTGAACAATATTATCATGAATTATGTTGTCAATTATTTAGTTATGATAAATGTACATTTGACAAATTCATTCTACTTGATTAAATAGTAAATGTAATTCATTAAAAAACTTTTACGATAAGTTGCATATCTGATACGATATGTAAGTTGCAAATACGGTATGTTCCATATCAGGGTATATGTTGTAAATACGGCATTTGTTAAACTTACTGGGAGTAGAGAATTATTTTTTCAACAATTCTATCTTTATTATAATTCAATAGTTTCAATAATACTTCTCATTTTTCGATATGAATAATTATTTCAATAATACATTACTTTTCGTTTTTCAATATGTATTTAATTTATTAATCATCTAAGCAATTTGAACAATATTATCATTAGTTATTTTGTCGATTATTTAGTTATGATGAATGTACA